GCTGGAACAGGGACAGAGTGGGAGAGGAAAGAGATACCATAATAAATGAAGACATCATGAGCATAGGGAGAAACTGAGTGCTATGGTAGTTCCCAGGAATCAACAAGGATGACCCCACTTTAGACTACTAGCAATGATTGAGTGGTTGCCTGAATTGACCTATTCTAGTGATCAAGATGGCTGAATACCCTAACTGTCATCATAGAGCCCTTACCCAGTGACTGATGGAAGCAGATGCAGAGATCCATGGCTGAGTGCTAGGCTGAAGTCCAATCAATGAGAGAGAGGAGGGATTCTATGAGCAAGAGACATCGAGATCATGATGGGAAAATGTACAGAGACCACCAGCCAAACTAGTAGAAACACATGAACTGTGGACCAATAGATGAAGAGCCCCCATGGTACTAGACTAGGCCCTCTGGATAGGTGAGACAATAGTTTAGCTTGAACTGTTTAGGGGGCCCTCCAGCAATGGGAGCAGGACCTGTCCCTGGTGCATGAGCTGACATTTTAGAGCCTAGTGCCTATGGTAGGAGGGACATTTTACACAGTCTTGGTGCAAGGAGGAGGGGCTTGGACCTGCCTCAACTGAATGTACCAGGCTCTGCTAACTCTCCATGGGAGGCCTTGCCTTGGAGGAGGTGGGAAGGGGTAGTGGGTTTGGAGGGTAAGGCTGGGGGGGTGAGAGGAGGGAGGAGAGAGGAATCTGTGGTTGTAATGTAAAATGAATAAAAAAAATCTCCTAATAAAAATAGAAAAAAAAAGAAAGTTCATGTAAAATTTAAAAGGGTAGTGGAGAGCAAATGAAATGATACATATTTGTTCTTAATCTCTTCATAATCTCTTCATAGGGATAGGAAGCAAAGAGTGTGGAAGGGTCCAATTCAGAATAAAAAAAATTATATGGAGTAGTTGTGTTTTTTTGTTGTCTATTTTAAGCAATCATCTAGAAAGGAACTCCTAGTACAGTCTACTTAACAGTGGACACATTTATTCATTAATCACTTGATGAGTCAAACATGTTAATTATCCAATCCACTATTAATAGTAGCAACTTCTATGGAACATATACAGCCTTTAACAATAAGTCTTTTGCCCATATCTAACCCAGATCATTACATCACTTACTGACATTCTGTAGGTTGCAAAAATATTGATATGCATTTGTAATTGTTGATAAAAGAATACAACTTTACATATGATTTTAAATATAACTTTAATGTAGCTTTACATATATGCTGCAATGCAACTCACCACTTCACTTCAAAGTCTCTTTAAAAATATCACAATAGATTCTCTCTTAATCCCAGAAAAATATTAAGTCCAAGGTGCTTTACAATAATGATATATAAAGTATATATATGTGTGTGTGTCTGTGTGTGTGTGTGTGTTTCTGTGTCTGTGTGACATACCTACCCAAGTATGCTGATTTCTATAGGTCAAACTTTTAGTGATTTTAGAGGGTTACAATAAGTTCCTTTTAATGAGAATTTTACATTTATATGTGAAATTAGAACATTTTTCTTTATTTAAAAAGTATTTTATGCCGGGCGGTGGTGGCGCACGCCTTTAATCCCAGCACTCGGGAGGAAGAGCCAGGTGGATCTCTGTGAGTTCGAGGCCAGCCTGGGCTACCAAGTGAATTCCAGAAAAGACACAAAGCTACACAGAGAAACCCTGTCTCAAAAAACCAGAAAAAAAAAAAGTATTTTGTCATCTACAATATCTATATGTATCTTAATAAATGTGTTACACTTAGAAACATAAGACTTCAGAGTGTAAGAAATGATCATTATTGTTGGCAATAGATGGTAGATTCATTGAAACTGAAGTTATAGGATGTAGTACACTGATTTTTCATATTTATTGGTCAAAGATTTTAACTAGATACTAATTTAGGCCATTCAATAAATGGCCTAGTATGATTCTTGAATTTATCGTATGATTGTTAGTGTTTGCTTCTCTACTCAGTGTGCATAAACAGATTTTGTAGCAGTATTTTGTCTAGTAAATTTGAAAATAAATACAATGAATATTTTAATACCATTTAATAGGGTAGGCCTTCTGGGATGACAAGCAGTAATTATGTTAACAAGCATGTTAAATTTCAAAGTGAATGAAAAAAGCATAAGCTTTATTATTATAGTGATTTTAATTCATGTTGAGTAAGAAAGATTACAACTGCAAGAGTAAAACTAGGTTGACTCTTTCACCATATATTTTGTGCTTATCATTAAATGGTAATAAATATTTTACCCCTTTATTTATTTATTTTGTTTTGTTTTGTTTTGTTGTTCGAGACAGGGTTTCTCTGTGTAGCTTTGCACCTTTCCTGGATCTCGCTCTGTAGACCAGGCTGGCCCCTAACTCACAAAGATCCGCCTGCCTCTGCATCCTGAGTGCTGGGATTAAAGGCGTGTGCCACCACCGCCTGGCATTACCCCTTTATATAGGTGAAAATAACATGGTTCTGCATGCATATGTTTCTGTTTACTTTAACTTGGTTTAAAAAAAATACATTTAAAATGCTACCTGACTTCTACTTTCATGTATTTACTATGGATAATTTCCCAAAATTTACAAAGGTGAGCTTGAATATAACTTTATCAGTAGAGTTATTGTCACTCTGAAATAAAATTAAATGCCCTCTTCACCCTGTGTTTTTGTCTACTCACTTACTTTTACTCATAGAAACTATAAGCAATAATACATCATAAGCTTCCATTGTCTATTGGTTTGCAGTCAACTAAGATGTAAATGTCATGACAACAGTGATATTTAGACTTACTATAATTTATTTTTTATGATATTTTAATTTAATGTCACTATATTATCTCCAGGAGTTATAATTGTATTTGGCCAAGTATAGTCATTCAATATAATCAGTGCATACAAATGAAAACAAACAGTGAATATTAACATATGACTAAGCCTATTAATATATTCATGAGCTTCATATTTTCTACCTTTTAAAGGTTTAAAAATTAATAAAATTTATAATAAGTAATAAACTACTATAGACTTGCAAGAATATTATAAATGGAAATGATTAAGATAAAGCTCAGAAATATATTTGAGAGCTTACAACTTCATAATATTCAGCAGTAAAATAAATAAATATTCTGTAAGTTGATAAACAAATATTAATTGAATAAAGTATTAGAATAAAGGAGAAGAAATAGGATTGTGGGTGAAAAGGGATAAAATATGATTATGGGGCACATATTTTATTTCATTTTTCATTTCATTTTTTGTATTAATCCAATTAGTGAAGGAGAGTTCAATATCCTAGATTATAATAAGTACTATTGATATATTGAGACTCATAGAAGATTAATACTTGCATACATCATAACCACTGACGGAAGACTACTTCCTCACAAGGTACCTGAAAGTGCTTCTGTAGGAAAGGCTGAGTGAGTAGGGAATGGAGAAACATACATTATGGTAAAAAAGGACAATAATATGGTGTATTGAAGAAATCTAGGATTCTGAAGGATCTGAAGTCCACTATTAAGAAGTAAATACTCTGTGTGTTGATTCACTGAGATAAAGAAGACTGAATGAGACAATATAGCCAAACAAGTAGAGAAACATGGAAACTTCTAATTAGATTATTTCATGTTAATGCCTCATACGGTATTGCTTTTCAGATCTTGCAACATGTGCCAATAGGAAAAATAAAGTGAAGGCTGACTTAAAGTTTCCCAAAAGGTTAAGAATATTAAATGTTGGTGATATAGAAGAGTGAGGACTGTGAAATATCAGTTCATTTGACTAGTAATATGATTGCATTGGTGCATTTGACTTAATTCAAAGCTACAATAGAGATTAAAAAGACTTGTTACTAGATGCTCAATAACATGAATGAAGTATGTCATATAATAAATTAATGGCATGGTCCACAATAATCTTGGATACTTGCAAACTTTCAAAACATTGAAAGTATTATTCAAAGAAAATGTTATTGTATCCACAAAAGATTAAGAGGTCCCCTGGCAGTGGGATCAGGATCTGTCTCTGGTGCAGGAGCCAGCCTTTTGGAGTTCACTACCTATGACTGGACACCTTCCATAGCCTTCAGGCAGAGGGAGGCACTTTGACCTGCCTCAACTAAATATATCTCTCCATGGGAGACCTTACTTTCTTGTAGGAGGGAATGGGGGGTGGGTTGGGAGTGGGAGGCTGGAGGGGTGGGAGGAGAGAAGAGAGGAATCTTTGATTGGTATATAAAATGAAAAAAAAATTTCTTAATAAGTAAATAAATAAAAAGAAAATACCTAAGGAGCTAATTTTTATACAATTATAAAAGGAATGCTAAATTACTATTTGGTATTAGAATCAAAATTGGCTAATAACTTCAAGAAATGAATGCAACTTTGGGGCTTTTGTTTCTTCAACTAAGCTGAAAATCAGTCTAGCAGAGAGAAGTCAAGCTGAAGCTGAAGGCCTTATGTCCATTGAGGAAACACTCAGTAATCTGTTTTGTTAATTTCAAGTTAAGCTTATTCCTCGGACACCTCCTCTCTTACAAGTAAAACACTAATATATTTGAATATATTTTTACATATGAAAATGAATGCCAAAATATTTAATTAAAAATATATAATTAAGGTGAAAATATTAGCTACATAATGAATTTCTCCTATTTTTAATGCATAATCCATCAATTTGGAATATTTCCACAAAAATAAACTGGTATGTTGG